AGGAGGAGAAGGGGTCCACTCGAGGTTGGGAACCCAAGCGGCGAGCCACAGACCTGGGCAGACAAGGAGTGGACTTGCGGGGCAGTACCGTGCGGGCCGAGCTGGGCAGAGGCCCGCCGACAGGTCGACCTGGCCATGACCCCACACCACCTCCCATGGACCTTTTCGAACATCGGGCTGGTCCTACCTTTGGGGTCCCGGCGAGAAGAGCACGGGTGAGCTTCGACGAGGAAGACTATGGCCCGTCGGAAAAGTTTCGGAGGTCAGCGGGGGCACTTGGCGACCCTGAGGACAAGGGCAGCGAAGGGATGGTCAAGGTCATGGCGGACATCGCGTACAACCTCGACCTCGCGAACAAGCGGGCGGAAGACGCAGCGGCGGGGAAGATGGGCACCCTCCAGTCGATCACTAAGGACCACGAACTCCTCGTCCTGGCGGCGCGCGGATGCGGGAGGTTCCGGGTGGCCATCTGCCCGGACGACTTGGGTCGGGCGCTCGTCAAGGCGCTCTTGCGTATGGCGGAGCATTCCTCGGCGTTGTTCAAGCACCACCGCTGGCCCACCCTGATCAACTACCGGATCGCGTTCGGCATCGCGTCGGGGTCATGGGGTGGCAAGTCGGTCGAGACACTGGCTGCTCATGCGCTCAGTGTTGCCGATTGGGTGACTTGCCCGGAGGAGTTGTTCGATGACTACGTACCCACGACAGAGTACAAGATCGAGCCACGCCCGAAGCAACCTGTGGATATGCTGAAGTGGGCACGGCAGGCCCGCAATGGCATATGGGCGGTATGTTTGGCGTATGGGGCCGAGCACTGGGACGAGAGGAGCGAGGCCTTAGATTACCTCATTCGGCAGCACGAGGCGAAGCCGCGGAAGTACACCGCCCGTTTCGTCCAGGATGCTTGGGAGGAGCTGAACGGGCGGTGGTGGGAGGAGCTTCGATGGAAGGTGAAGGAGGTGCAGCGCTACTGCAACAAGGAGCTGATGAGGAAGGAGGATTTTATCTTCGCCGCACGGACGCCGACACCAGAGGGACCACCGTTGCTGACACTGCCCACCACGTTCGAAGTGGAGGACCCGGACGGGTACTTCAAGACGGTTATCTTCGAACGCCTGGTCAAGACTGCGGACAACGCCTACGGGGAGAACGCGCACCGTGCCCAGCTGCGACCACTTGCAGCGGGAGGAGTTGAGGAGGTCGAGGAGCGCCGCCCGGCGGGAGCTCTGCCCCAGCACCCTTCAGGTGGTGGGGGTGGAGAAAAGGTTGGCGGTCTGACAGGAGGCGGGGGAGGAGGAGCAGGAGGAGGCGCCCTGAAGGCTGGAGCGAGCAAGGTTAAACTCCCGCCGGAGGTCCTCTCGGCTCTGACAGGGCCCGAGGTTGCAGACTCAGTCAAACACGGGCCGAACGACTCCAAGGGGAAGCCCAAATGCTGGGATGCAGCGTGCCACGATGGATGTTCTAAGACGGCCACCACGTGTCAGCGGTCCCATGCGGAAGGTATCAAAAGCGCAGACAGGGCACACTGGACTGCGAAGGCACAGTACATCAAGAGGGGAGGACTTAAGACGGGACCGAAGATAAAGATCGAGGATCGGCTCGGCAAGATCAAGCAGCTCCGTGCGGATGCTCAGAAGGAGCAGGCCGCGAAGGTGCAAGAAGGGAAGGACCAGGCAACACAGCGAGGTGGTCGGCGAGGAGGAGCTACGGGAACTTGCCGGACCGCTAGGGTGGAGGAAGCTGCCAAGCCGCCTGAGGAGTACGCGGGCATGGAGTACACGACCCAGGAGCGCGAGCTCCAGGAGTTGGTGCAGGGTCCTGATGAGAGCTGGATGCGGGACCACGGGGGCCAGGCCGCGGTCGTTTACCCGCCTGAGTTGCCGGCGGACGTGCCGGAGGTGGCCAAGGTCCACATGGCGATGGCGGACCAGGTCAGCAGCTCGCCGGAGGCTAAGGTGGTTTCTGACGCGCCGAGCCGTCTCCGATCCTATTGTCATGGTCGCTTGCTGGATGGGTATCTTGGGGGGCAGATCACCCCGATTGAGGAGATCCTGCAGGATGCTGTGGAGCTTGGAGATGAGGAGTTGGCGGGCCAGGCCCGGCCCTACTTGGCGTCACGAGTGGAACGAGTTGGGGGAGAACTTGAGGGTCCAGAAGTGCATGCGGGTAAAGTGGTGTGGGGGCCAGCGGAGGAACCGGGGCGCGGACGAGTTCATATCAAGGGGCGCATCTGGGACATCCTTGACTACAGAGACCAGCTGGCCGTCACCGAGGAGCTGGCGGAGTACCTACCTGAGTGCCAGGCTGGAGAGGCGGAGGAGAGGCAGTGTGTCTTCATCAACACGGCGGCGGCTCACCTGCACTCCAAGGGCGGGGGCGACCCGTCCGTGGCAGAGGTGATGGAGTTGGCGCAGCAGTGGCGTGTTGCTATGTGGGAAGAGGCAAAGCAGGCTGACACGTTCATGGGGCCGCCCGACGCTTACATCCCCATCACCGAGTCGGACGTGAGAATGTTCTGCCACGACACCCTCCACATGAGCCATGACAAGGACTACCGCACCCTTGCCGCCTTCCCGCCTACCGCGTTGCGGGAGACGGCCATCCATGTGGTCCGCGTCGATCCTTGGGGACGAGCGCGACTAGAGGTCATCGTAGGGGTGAAGTACGACCCGAAGGCTGGCGGGCGGGACGTGTGGATGTTACTCTACAAGGGCCATTTGCAGGTACTGGTACCTCCCCAGGTGGATGCCGATACACTTCGGGGAGACTTCACGGGCGGGCACCCGCCACATGAGGTACTGGCTGCAGGTTGGGACGTCTACCTGGATGACGCGACGCATGAAGAGGCGAAGGTACCAGGAGACGCGGCGAGGAGGTGCCCGCGGTGCCGGGCGGCAAGGGAGGCTGGGCGTGAGCGGAAGGCCGGGGAGCAAGACATCATCGGGGAAGACCCGAGGTGGAGGGTCCTTGGCAACTGGAGCAACCCAGCCTGGAAGCGGTACGAGCGCCACGGGCAGGCCACAGGAGGAAGGCGGCCTTGTTGGAAGGGACGCGCACTGACGGCAAAGGAGGTCTGGGCAGGTACCCAAGGTTGGTCGGACTCGCTCCGGAAGGCCGGGGTCGAAGTCGGCCCAGCGGTCGAGTTGTACTCAGACCCGGATCGTGGCAAGGGTTTGCAGGAGGAGCACGACACCAGGCGCAAAGAGGTGCAGGAGGCGCTACTGGAGGAGGCCAGACAGTGCGTGTACTTGCTTTGGTGGCTTGGGTTCGAGTGCCGCACCTTCTGCCCGTGGATGCTGCGCAATGGCGGAACTCGCACCTTCGAGGTTCCTGCTGGGCGACCTGACGGGCCAACGTGGGAGGTCGAAGGAACTGCCATGGCCAACTTTGCTGGACGTTTGTTCGAGACCATCGCCGACGCTGGTGCACTGCCGACAGCGGAGCACCCCGCACCTGATGGTCGGTACCCCAAGGCGTACGACTTGGACAGGTGGCGCCAGATCCTGCGCCGGAAGGACGTCCTGGTGGTGCCAGTGGACCAGTGCGAGTACGGCCTGGGGCCTCAGGACGGTGTGGGAGGAGACGAACGGTATAGAAAGCGATCGTGGTTGGTCACGTGCGTGCGACATCTGCAGGAGGTGGCCCGCCGATGTACCCACCAGCACAAGCACGTCGAGCTGAAGGGCGTGGACACGGTCACGAAGCATAAGCGGACGTCAGACGCGGGCCACTACCCTGAGAAGGTGCTGAGCGCCATCACCCGGGCTATGATTAACGAGGCCTTGGAGCTGGGCGCCACGCTGACCCAGAAGCGCGGGGGGGGGGGGAACAGCCCCCCCACCGTCAACAAATTGTTCGGCGACGTTGGCGGGGCACATTTCCGAGGGCGATGAGGACCAAGAGGAGGGCGCCAACCCACAGCTGGACGACCTACGCGACCGAGTCGGAGGAGCGGTCCCAGGCACAGATTGGCACGCTTTGAATTTCTGGACGGCGGCTCGCTCCGAACCCGGTTACAGTGATGAAGCGTTCGGTCGCATGATTCTGCGAGGTGCGGAGCTCCTGGACACTCACGGGGGATGGCAGGAGGCGTCAACGGCCCTTCGAGCTGCCTGGAAGTCGGACCAGGGGGACCACTTCAAGGGCGTGCACGACAGCTACCTCGAGGGGAAGGTGGAGCCGGAGCTCCTGGAGTACCTGAGGCGGGTCGCGTCGAACGGGGT